AGGAGTCAGCTATGAGGGAAGACCAGCAAGTGGCAGAATATGCCAGATTTAGATTGGTTTCCTCTCTCTGAAGCAACCCAAAGTGGTTGGAACAGAATCCAGGAGTGGGGCCAAATTAGAGTTGGCTTCTGACTGTAGTTCAGTGATCGATTTCAATAGTAGGCATTAATTAATATTGCTGGAACATTTTGAGGGGGTATTACCCAGAACCCAAACAGGATATAAAGAGAAAAGGTCACTGACAAAGCTATGTCATAGTCAGTGCAAATACACATCTGTTAATTCCTACTCGTGAGACAAGATTTCCCCAAATTGTAACTTCCATAGAGTATCTCCCCTCAAAGACATTGAAAGGCTGCTTCTCTAAGAAAACCAGGATAAAACTTCAGAATACGATTCTCAGAGAGTCAAATCTTCACACATAAACCAATCCCCTGAAATTTAACTCCAGACCTCCTGTCAGAGATGTCTCAAACTCCTCTGTGGTTTCAGTAACTTCTAACTGGAGAATGACAATCCCCATTCGGAAACTCCTGCTAAGATTTTCAAACCTGGAGCGAAAATAAAATCTTTTGAACATTCTTGTGAATGCACCAGGAGGAGCACGCCTTGACAGTTTGAGACACAAGACAGTGAAGTGCCCAGTTCCTGCAAGTGTAGTTTTCCTACCCTGAATTTTGCAGTGCCTGCTCCTAAATCCACAGCTCCACCACATAAAAGACTCTCTCAAGTGTGACTGTGTTAAAATTTACCTTTGTGAAGAAACAGCATATTTAAATAAAATTAAATTCCAGTTAAGTGTTCTGATCAGCTGTCTGCAGTTCTGGTACTTTCTCTGCTGCTGGCAATCTATATTCACATCGCATGCTTCTGAAAGTGCAGATCAAAACCTTTCCTCAGCTCCAGACTTTCAGAAGTTTGTTCAACCTCTCCCCTATTTTTTTTTCCCCCTAATGGAAGACTTAAGTTATACTAAGCTATTATTGGAAATATGAGAATGCTGGCAGGTCAAAGTCTAAACAGCAAATTAAGACAATAGATCAATCATCTTTATCATGGTTTCTTTATACTTCCTTTAAATTATAGGTCTGTAAAGGTACCAGGCTTAATTGTCTAGTAAGCCACTGTCATACCTGCCTCTCTCCTAAATGCCATGATACAGAAGTGAAGGCTATCTCACATTTCCTTTTGTTCCTTTGACTGGTGTGAAGTAAACAACTCAATCAATTTGTAAAGCACTCTTTTTTTTCCCCACGGTACAAGGCAAGTATTATACTGAAATTCAGAAGTGGGGAAAAAAAAAGGACATGGCATTCAGTGGACAGAGCAGAACAGAAATTGCTAGTGCACAGAGACGGAGTGTAAATATCTGTTGCTATTTGTGCGCAGATGTTTATATCATTTAACACATAACAATATACCAGATAAGCAAACCTATACAAAAATTTAAATTCCACAGCACAGATTTCATCCCCATGTTCTTAGACTTGGAGCAAACTCAAAGGTTCTGTAAATTCTAACTTACGTATTTAGACTATGATTTTACATTTTCAGTTATGGCCGAACTGTGGTTGTCTGCCATAACATACACCAGAAGAACCAGCCAATTTTGACATTTGAGCTCTTTTATTCGAATCAATTATTTAAGAATGTTTAGCATTTATGCCTGAAGATGTAATACACCTTTCAAAACCTGGAAAATCTGTATTTCAAGTTAAACTAACTGCTAAAATGTTACAGCAATATCTGGATTGAAGACTGATTTTGATCTCTCTGCTAACAGATTAAAACTGCTTACAGTCCTAGATGGCATATGTAACTATCTGGCCACATCTCCTTGGCACAGTCATCTAGTCCTTTATATTTATCTTACCTTTAATGCATCATGTTTTTCATTTGCTTCAACAATCAAAATTTCTGCCATATCCTCGGCATGCTCAGACCGCGCGTGGACAAACAAGGCTCTGCCAACTTCTGATATATTCTTTAGTGCAACTAAAGACCCGTCACGTTCCACTTTAAAGTCTGGGTTAGAAACTTCGAAGTTCAATTTGTTATTCCCCTTGCAGTCATCAAAATCCACTGGGGGGAAAAAAAAAAAAAAGAACACAATTATTCACTTTGGAACACAGACTTCAAACATCTTTATGTTATTGGCTTGTCTACAGATCTTGGGAAGAAATGTCTCCTGATCTAAGGGGAAAAACTTTCAAAGAAGCTTTATATTTCTGTGACTTTAATTCATAGACACATCTTATGAATACACACTTTCAGGAGGATGCAGAGATTTTGACCATGCTAAATGGAGAGGTAGGAGATGAACTAAACACTTTGCGATCACTCAGATCAAATGTACAAAATGCACATCTAGTTCTACAAGTTGGGCAGTAGAGACCTTGTTGTCCTCCTCATTATAACCCAGGATGCCTAAAGGCTTCTCTGCTGGCAAAGTGGTTTCAGATATCCAGTAAATCTTTCTGCTTGGAATTGTTTACAGATTATTCAACCACATAGCCTACTGCAAAAGTGTTACATAACAGAAAACCCAAACTATAACATTTCTTACTAACTACTGGAATTGTGACATAGATTGAGCTGCATTATCGGTATAACTAAGAATTATGAGGACTTTTAATTAAACAGTAGCTGTCAATAATTCTGTTTCACTTTACATGGAAGATTTAAAATATTTAGGAAGGCTAGCATAAGAGAAAAATGTTTCTAAAGTATAAAGGTTTGAGACTTTGCCTCAAGTTCTGAGCCCGGTAGATTCACTTTGCAAAAAATACTGGAAGAAACACTAGTGATGTAACTACCAGCTATATGATTGTGTGTCTTCACCACAAACTTGAAACTGGCTGCTTCTTCTCAGGTTTCAACATCTCTGAACAATATATTTGCATGGGAAGGGTTTTTCTGCAGACAATCTGTTTTGTATTCTCTACCTGCTCCTTGAGTTACTGCTGCTGGAGACTCTTCACTTATCTGTATGCTCTTGCTATTTTGATTTTACATTTCGTTTCTACTGGATGCTTAAAAACTGCATTACACTTTCAGAAATGGATACAGACAAGGATACAGGCCACAGAAGATCAAAGACAGCAGAGTTTTACTGAAAATAAAGCACTTTGCATAATTATTTAAATTCACTGTAAATACACTTGTATTCGGTCATTCTTTTTAAAAGAAAAAAAAAATCCCAGATTCTTGCACAGCCTGGCCAATACCTAAGCTTTCCCTGACTATGTAATATCTGTAACTGGTATTAAAACACAGACAGCATCTCATACTGGATGGCCTAACAACACTGCTGGGAAGTCACACAAAAATCCTCTTCAGAAAACTTTGCTTCTACTACCAGACTTGAAGACAGGGCTGTTGGAGGACCTGGTGGAGATCCTTCATGCCTGGGCATTCACTGGGATTGAACCCCAGAGGAGAACCGCCCCAGAGGGGAACTGTTGCTGGTTACAGAATCTGAATGCAACTTAATTTTATGATGAATATTGATGAGAAAGGTTAAATTAAAAATAAACCAAGAGCAAACTTCTCAAATGTCTAAAATTCAGAATAAGGCACAGAACAGGGGACATGTGACACTATTTGCCAAATCAGCAGCACTGGGCTGGCCTTGGGCTGCATCCACACTTTCCCCTGCTCCAGCACGAGTCCCCTCCGTGGGCCGCAGCTTCCTCAGGACAGGCCCACCTGCAGGAGCTGCCGGGAATCCCTGCTCCAGCGCCTGGAGCCCTTCCTCTCCTCCTCCTCCTCCTCCCCCCCAGGGCT